CAAGTGTTGTCACGTCTTCAAGATTATTAAACTCTCAAGCTCCGAGATATTTCAATTGTGTTTGATACAGCAGGACAATGGCATATCATGTGCTCTAGGGTCTCCCTTGTTCCCGTCACCATGCATTTCCTGCAAACTTCACTGACAGCAATCCCCATTTTGCTTGCGTGTGCTGCCAACATTTTATGTCCTGTGAGGACACCTATCATGGTTCTGCAGTCTCTTCGTGCCAGCGATAGTATAAACCGGGTTTGTGTACCGTTTTCTAGTCTGCTCATGACTTTAGCGATTTAGCAGGTGTTTTACGCATTCCATCTCGATAAAGTCAGCTTATTCACCCTCTGGCCTATTTTGTTATAAAGATTTTTTAGCGGTTTCGGAATGTTATTCTCTGGTTCTAGAACCAAGTGGATTCCACGTTTGACAATCTCATCTACAATTTCGTTACCTGTAATGCCCTTGTGGCCGGGGACCCAATAAATATGCAGTCGCCTGGTTGCTGCTGCTCTATTTATGGCCTGATCTAAGGGCATTTTGTGACGTAAATTGGTATGAGCTTATAGTCTTAATCGCTGCACCCAGGAATATATTTTTTTATGTATGCTACCGCATAACTTTGTTCCACGTGAACCGATTTCAATAATTCTTTTTTTTTTATCGGATATCTAAGAAATAGTTAAAATGTAATCAAATTTTCTAGTACCGTTATCTCTAAAACCAGAGTCAATCTGGTAAAACGGGGGATGCCATTGAAATTAGAAATCCTAATTAAGTGAGTTCAACTTTCAAAATCTTTGCTCAAATTTACAACTTGCACAGGGTAATTATTCTTTTGTTTTCTATTTCAGGGATCTAAATGTTGATTCCTCGTCTAACTTTAGAAGCACTTTTACACTTATATTTATCGATTTTTAAGGAGATTACGAATAGAATCATATATAAAACATAGGTGTGCCCTTATTAAAAAATTATAATTTTTTTTGAAAGTGTACCCGTTTTTAGATGTGCCCATATACATGCACACCAGGGAGGCTAACTCGTGGGGAAAATCCTCAATTTGCGGGGAATTCGAGTTTGCGTGGGGAATCGGGGAATTGACCATTATTTGTGGGGAATTTCAGTTTATGTGCAGATTCGGGAGATGAACTGCTTTTTGCGAGGAATTAGGTGTTAACTACTTTATTATATTTTGCTTCACTGATTTCATAATGAGGTAAAACAGTCGCATAAGAAGTGCAACTGCAACTAGAAGTACTAATTATACAATCCTGGAAATTACCCAAATTAAATTTGATAGACACACTTTTTTTATGTGGAAGAAAACCGTAACACTTTCGGAAATTTTAAAACGAAAATGTTTAGGCACTTGAAACTTGCACTTATTCGAATTTGGTGGGCTACAAAACTTCAAACTCAAAATCTTTCTAGAAAATGTAATTAAAAAGCTCGAAATTTTTACGAAAGTTTTTAGTTTTTATTTTCAATATTACACAAAGTTTGAAACTTGGATTTATACGGTTCTTGTTAAAGAATTAACAAAATTTTTATAAAAAGAATAAATCAAATTAATACCAAAAAAAAAAAATAATTTTGTAAACTTGTCAAAATTTTCCTTTATTTGTTAACTAACTTTATAAAAGTTTGGTTTGGTCCATGGTGAAATAATAATAAGGTGTTGTCACTTAGGGGGTGGTTGTTGTAATTTTGGCAATTTCGGCATACCAGCATTACAGTAATGCCTACTCTATTCGTTCCAATTTCATTTCTGGGCAAAATGGAACAAAAAATGGAGCAGACAATTTTGTAAAAAAAGTATGCGTAGGTATCACATACTACGTTTATACGCACGTATTATTTGCAAATAACAATTTGCAAAATGGTAAACTTTGCCGTATAAACGCTGAGTTAATTTTTTATTTGCAAATAACTTAATCACGCAAATCCGAGCGATTCTCAAAATTTTTTTTATATTTTTATTTTAACATAAACATTATTTTATTTTATTCTATCAAATTTTGTTTTATTATCTTTTTTTTGTTTATGGTATTTCATATATTCAGGGTGAACTAAAGTACTCATATTTCTATATATTGCCGGGTAAATTTTTTCTCTTCATATGGATAGCACTGTTCTCTATCATCTTAACAAAAAGCTGTTTCTAATATTACGTTCAAATTGGCCCCATTTAACTTGTTAAATTAAAAAGAGCTTTTTGGAAAACACAATCGTCCACATTGAACATTTGGAGTTAACTTTGACGGTTGTTTGATTACCAATAAAAATTCGAAAAAAATATTCAAAATCAAGTTTTTGTATTTCAATTTGTTTTGTGCGAATGTCTGCTTCATGATATTAACGCATACGGATAACTTAGAGACCTAAAAAATGTTTAGTTCGTATGCACTAATTATCTCTGGCGTACGATGAGACCTCATGGGAAATAACTAATTACCGCCGGGGTCTCTATTTTGGCGGGCAGACATGCATACAATTTTGATATTTTTTGATAATTTTTAATATTTTTCAGAATATAAATTTTTGGAACGTTGCCGTGTCAAATGAAAGCTTTTGGGTGTTTCTGATTGGCCGGAGCGGAAAGCTTTCTGATACAACTCTCCGCTGAACTGGTTTTCAAACGAGTTAAATGATTTAACTGGTTAAATTTTCCAACAACAATTGCATGCGATTTAACTTGTTTATGAACATGTTTTGTTCATTTAACTGGTTCAAGCCCATTTAACATGTTTAGCTCGTCAATTTGAACGTAGTACATGAGCTGTGAAAGCAAACTAAGGATATATGGGAGGATATACCTCCAGAATTTTTACAGAGATACAAATAAGGTACATATGCCACATCGCATCCAAGAACTGAAACAAGCAAAAGGGTACTGAACATTGTGTTAGTAGTTCTTTTTTTTTGTGAAAATTGTTAAAAAGTTCTTAAAAATATATGAGTGCAAAACTGTAACATCTGCCTTAATTTACATTTTTGTCTGCTGTTTTTTTTATTGTTGTTGTATTGACTTCAAATCGTTCTGAGAGAGGGAGTAGGGATGTACCAACAAGAATATACAACGAAAGTATGAACGTCGTTAGAACTTGGAAAGAAGTTTTGCTCGTCACTGTATGTACATACAAATTAGGGTGCCCATCGAAAATGCCTTTTTTTAATTTCCTGACCCTACCCCCTAATTTTATTCGTTTTTATGAGAAATATTATTGCCTATTTTTATAAATTTTTTAAAGGTCATTTAGAGGTCGCGACCTGTAGATTTAGGTCAGAAAATGCGATTATATAGTTTTATGAGTTTTTGAATGACTATTTTTGATTCAATTTCAAAGATCGAATATGATCGGAGAAGAGGATATATGGGCCTTTAAAATGGTATATAATAATCTATTGGCGGACTTGGCTTGTTGGGATTTTTTATCGGGTAAAATAAAAGAAAACCATATTTCTCTTAATTTTTTAAATTTTGACCAACGATATATTCCACAATTTCAAAATATGTAGTACTATCTGAAATTAAATCTATTTTTAAATGAACTGATAGCTCTTTTATTGCAAGGGCATTAAAATTGTCGAAGTTAGGCGAATTTTCTTAAATACGGCCGTGCATTTATATTGTTTATATACCGGGCCTCCAGATTTTTTGAGCAGTGTGGCTAAGGAATTCATCAATATTTATTCAAAATTTATATATACAATAAAAATTTTAGGAAAATGGAGGGATGGCATTAGGGTTGCCAACATTTTCTAAGATATTTATAGCACTTTTTCAAAAAAAATGGAAAAAATATAGTACACTTCAAATAAATATAGTATTTTATTTAAAAGAAAAAGTAAACACGATTTTTAAGTGATGGAAAATTTCTTCCCGTGCCAAAGTTGTGGGAATAGAGAATAGAAATGAAATAGTTTTAAGTAAATTTGTTAATTCTTTCTCAGTTATGTTACCTTTTTTGATTATAAACCCACAATGACCTTTTACTTTAAAGAATATTTCATTTAATATTGTTATTTCAGAATAAAGGTCATCCAATTACTGAAATATATTTGAATTTATAATTAAAGGAATATAGTATTTTTGCGTACTATATTTTTTCCAACAGTATGTATATAGTACGCCGACTGAAAAAATAGTACAGTTCTATATATATAGTACGGTTGGCAAACCTGGATGGCACCGCCCACTTATATAGACCGATCTCGACCACATTTGGTACACACATTACGCTTAGGCTTTTTAATCGCCATATTGAAAATTTTGGAAATCGGACAACAACCACGGGCTCCACCAACGTAACGGTAATTTCAAAAAACTCAAAGCTAGCTATATTTTAGGGGGAGCAGGTTTTGTCCGATTTAAAAAATATTCAAGACGGAACTTAAGGAGGCTAAACACAATGTGTATACCAAATTTGGTAGAGATCGGTCCAATAGTTTTTGAGATTCGCATATATCACACAAGTGGGCGGTGCCACCCCCATTTTCCTAAAATTTCTTAGAAAACCACTTATTTGCTTTTGTGACTAGTGCCAATCCAGCGACTTTATTTGAGCGATGCAAGCGTAGCTAGCTCGTCTGTGCGTCAACCATTCAGCAGCTACATCAGGGGGCACTAACTCGTCCCAGTCCACATTCGAGCGCCAAATTTTCTGCAGCCATATTTTAGAGCGGATTGTACAAGGAGCGATAAGTCCAAGCGGGTCGATTATCTTGCTCGAATCGGAAAGGAATACGCGTTTTGTTAGCTTTTTTGGAAGCTCTTCTAAATTAAATGCGATTGAGAGCGAATCATTGTCTGTAGGCCAAATAAAGCCTAATGTGCGAATATCATTTCCTTCAGCAAGGATATGTGAAACCTGTTTCGATGCATGCGGTATTTGGTTTTTTAGCGGTTGGCAATTTGTCGCCCACTTTCGGAGCTCGAAGCCGCTCTGAGAGAGCACGTAAGAAACGTCCCTTTGAAGCGTAAATAGATCTTGAAAGGAGTCCTAACCAGTAAGTAAGTCATCCATATAGAAGTCGGATGTATCGACTTCAGTGACCTTTTGGTATGCATCGCCTATATCCAGCGCTGCTCGTTGCAAGGACTTCACGGCAAGATGCGAAGCGGATGCCACCCCATACGTCACCCTTAGAAGACGGTAGTCACGCAATGGTTTTGAAGAATATCCACGCCATACAATACGTTGATAGTCAACATCCTGCTCAGCAACGTGGACCTGACGATACATTTTCTCGATGTCAGCAATAAGACCATAGCAATGAGTGCGAAAGCGCACCAAAATCGAGAACAGGTCTTGTTGCAGCCGAGGGCCTACCATTAGAGTGTCGTTCAGTGAATTGCCGGACGATGTCTTCATGGACGAATTGAACACAACTCTGAGCTTAGTGGTGGTACTCGTTTCCCTGACCACTGAGTGATGCGGCATGTAGTAAGTAAATTGAGTAACTGGACCGGCTGGGTCCATGTGACCCAAGTCTATAAGCTCTTCATGAAGACCTTTGTTGGTGGCGAACATCCTTTCCATTCGCAGCAAAGCGCGAACTGAAAGAGGCAAACGTACGATGAAACGACCGTCTCCTGCTCGTTTGGTGGTATCTTCGAACAGCTTCTCGCAGTAAAGTTCTTCGGGCGTAAAATGCTTCTTTGTCTGCAACTCCTCGAGATCCCAAAACCTTGTGATGATTTGCGTTAGCTGGGTGTCACAATGAAGCGTAGATATGAAATCAGGTTGCTTTTGGGAAGAAATCGCGTTTCCAAACAACACCCAACCAAATGCCGTATTCTGCGCCATGGGAGTGCTATTTTTCCCTTTCCGGAGACCTTCTAGTAAGAACTTATCCATTTCGTCATACCTATCGAAACATCAATAGGTCCAGGCTTGGAGAAGTTAGGATCAGCCAGGGGTAAGTCACAAGTATGCGGCCAAGGTGATGAGGGTACAGCGGTAGTTGGAAGGTAATTAGTTATTTTCGACAAAATAAGAGTACTCATCTGGAAGTTTGAGACTAATGACCGGGGAGCTACACAAACCTTAACTTCTCCTTTGGTGCAACCTCCTTTGATTGATCCGATACCAGTGACGCATATTGACGATGAGCTTCTAGGAAGATGAAGGCGCTGGACGCAAGATTCAGTGATGAACGAAGCGTGTGAACCATTGTCGAGAAGTGCCCTAGCAGGTTGCCAGCGACCGGCGTGGTCTTGCAAAAAAAAATTCAGCGGTAGCCAACAAAATAACTCGATCAGCATCAGCGTAGTGCGAGGTGACATTGGCATGTTGACCGGTTTCGTTAACAGCGAATGCAGCCTGTTATAAAGCGTTCTCATTGAGCCATTAACTCGAGTTTATGGGCCATTTTGGGGTTTAACACTTAACTCTTCTCTTAAACTCGGATTTTACCATACAAGAAATTTCGTTAAACTCTCCTTAAACACCACTTTTATTTGGAGTTTATGCGAATGCAACCTTTTTTTGACCCGATTTGGTTTGCGTCTTTGATAATCCAAACCTGAAACCAACTTGCCGACAGTTTGTCTGTTCCCGTACTGCAGGATTTAATCAGAATTAGTCCGACGTCGTTCTGTGCACATAAGTCTAGAATATCAACAATCTAGCGATGCAAAAACTAAAAATGTGGCTCTATAGAACTTTTTGTGCTGATTTCAACCCTACCAAATTTATCTGGCGAAAGTAAAATATAAAGAAGATATCAATGGTTAATGTTAAATTTTCAGATTTTTTAAATATTAATATCTTCTGAACAACATAACCTATTAAAAAACTAATGACGTCAAAATAAAGGTAATTAATTTGTCTTTCATGTATGTATATAATTAATATGCTTTTTTATATTTTTAGTCCGGAAATACTAAAAAACAAAATAAAATAAAAATAAATTTTTTTTTAAATGGCGATTATATAAAATTAGTTTTCAAACTGGTTATAGTATATACGTCGCATAAAAGGCATTTAAATTATGTTGACATTATCATCAATAATTTTTTAATCGGTTAAGTAGTTTCCGAGATATTAAACACATAAGAAATGGATAAGTTGAACTCTTTAACCTCTTTTATTGGCTTTGGTTTTTATTTGCACCGAATAATTTTGGTATGGTTGAAATTAGCGTAAAAAGTTCTATCGAGCCTCATTTCTTTTTTTTTTTATAGCTAAACGGTTGGTATTCTAAACTTATGTGTGTGTGTGTTAAATCCTGTAGTACGGGAACAGACTAAATGAGAATAAGAAAAAGTAAACAAAAACATGTCAAATTAAACTCTGAGTTTCTTTAACACCCCAATGTGAACGCTTGACAGTAGTTCATAAACTCAAAACGTTAAACCTGAGTTAATGGCTCAATGAGAACGTAATATTAGCTGTTAAAGCTAGCGTGCAGTAGTGAGTGATGACGTCGTTGGCATATGCGACACGATGATGCGCTACGACATTTTGCCACCTGATGCCTCTTACTAAGGCAGTTCAAACAGGCACCATGAGTTTTGATAGCGGTTAGCTTAGCTTTTGAGTCGAGTTGGCCAAACTTTGAACAGGTATAAATTTTGTGCTCACCATTGCAGTACGTACTAGAGGGCTGCAAAGTTCCCAGCCAAACTGCATTTCTCACATTCAATCGAAAAATAGGAACACATTTTTGCGGTACCTAAAAAAAATGGGACCAAAAGTAGAGAACATCCCAAATGAGCGTACCTGAACGATCTTACTCGACGGCGCTCTCCTTCACCAAATACATGTTCCGCTATGCTCACATACTTAAGTATCAAGCAACCTGAACGTAGTATTTGGAAACTTCACATAGGAAGTATAGGGTTTGTATTCTACTTATAGCACGCGGAGACATTTTTTTGAATGTGATCAGGTTTGCATTGGTTCGATTTCCTAAAATGGGGTGTGATATTAAAGCGCTTGGCCTGTAGATGTTTATTAAGGTTTAATTTTTTTAAAGTGTTGCCACCTGTTAAATATTTTAATTAAAATTATTTAATAAGTTAGATCAGTTATCAAAGTATGGGTATTACTATAAATTGGTTTGAAAAGGCTCCATTTCTAATAAATATGTAGGAGTGATGCCACCCGTTTAAAACGTCAAATTCAACTAAAATTAAGGGAGTTAGGTAAATTAAATAAATACATATTTATGTACGTGAAGCAATTTTTTGTGAAGGAGATCAGATCTGCACAGTTCTTTCAAATTTAAAAAATTAGATGTCAAATTGACGACCTTGGTTTTATTTTTTGAAGTAAGAACTTTTTAGAGGTACAGGGTTAATTGATGCAATTGATATCGATAACAAGACCTATAAAAATATCGATTAAAAAATCGATGACAGATTCGTTAAAAATTTCGATAGCAAAATCGATAATAATATTGGTAGCAAACTTGATTAGAAAATCGATAAAAATATCGATAACAAAATCGAAAAATAATTGATAACAAAATCGATAAAAATATCGATAATAAATTCGATAAATATTCCATATAAAAATCGATAAATAATCGATAAAAATTAATGAATAATCGATAACAAAATCGATAAAAATATCGACAACAAATTCGATAAAAACATCGATAACAACCCCGATAGAAATATCGATTATTATATCGATAAGTCCCAAGAATCCCGAAAATCTATATTGTTATTATATTAAAAATATTACCTCTTGATAAAAGTGCACTGAAATGCCTATCGTTCGATGAAAGCGTTGCAAAATTTAACGCCACTTTAATATTTGATTTTTTCCGAATGCGGTAAAGTTGACCTTCAAAATTGTGTTTCAATATTTAAATTTGATGTAGTGTGACATAAAAATACCTTAAAGAAACTCATATGTATGTATGTACATTAGGGCGGGTCGAAAATCTAATTTTTCTCAAATCCCTTGGTAATAGTGAAAATATATTATATCATGAAGTCAACAACAAGCCTGCAAAATATTAGTATTTTATTTTAATTGTGAGAGCCCGCGCATCTACCGTCAAGTGACCCATAGCACACTAGTCGAATAAGACCAATTCTTGTTAAAAATTCTGGGTCCAGTAAAAAGGGTTGGTGCATATTATTAGATAATGAATCCGTTAACGCAAAAGATAAAGTCGAATATCATTTCCCGCAGCACTTTAGCTTACCGTTAATCTCAAACTTATCTATTTTCAAGAAAATTTTAATTGTTCTCTTGATAATTGCTCTGGCCTATAGTCAAAGGATGTAAAGAACAGCATTAATATTGCTGGCGTGCATTTAGATCGCTAGTTCTAAATATTCTAATCTTTTTTTAATATTGGCTATAGTTTGCGAATTTTTGCACATTTAGGAACAATTTCGGTAGCTCTAATAGAATAGCCATTATTTTCCATTATCGTGGAAAAATTTTGTTTATGCAAATGAGTATGGAAACACTGAACAGGCACAACTTCTAGAAACACTAATTAGTTTACTTATGTTTATGCATACAATTTAAAAATTGCAAATATAGCAAAATGACAAAAAAAATTTGTTTAAAATTATTTTATTTTAAAATAATTGGTTTATAATCTGAACGATTTTCATCATATTATTATCATAAATCAGTAACAGTAAGTCTCGCCTTCAATTTGATAATTATTACGTACTGATCGAGTAACATTTACCAAAGTTATATCGAAAAAATTAAGTGGATTTCCATTTTTTTTCTAAAAAAATGTCTCTTCAATTGTATAAATAACCTTTAAATAAAAGAACCGGATTACAGAAAACTGTGCCAGCGAGTGACTTTTTTCGTTCAAGCTGAATGCAAAGCAATATCGTCCAATTGGAGAGTCCTCAAAACGATTTCCCAGGATATGTTAAAGACTATTGCATTTACCTACAGACACTTTTTCACATAATGGAATTAACTAAAATATTTATGTATATCTAAACACTTATTGCACGTCCCCTACTTTCATATAACGGCAAATATAGAAACCGCTTCTCTGGTGACTACTGAAACCATTCCGCACTAATTTTCAATACTGCATAAATAGATTTAAAATGGGCGTTTCTCACCCTAATTGTATTATGTTAATGTATGTAAATACTTATATGCTTGAAACTACTATTAACTTGTCAAAAGATTCCTAATCTTTGACAATACATCCATTCACCACGATCTTGAAAACTGACCAAATCGGCGTGACCAAGTCCATGGTCATTTTAATATTATATAAACATCCGAAAACATCAAAACGTTTGAAATAAATCTCGTCTTACTTTTTTGTATTTTTCACTTGTTTGCTGAAGTAATGAAGAATTGAAAACTCATAAGGGAAAATTATAGTTTTTGTAAGTTTTATCTTAATATCGTAAAAACGTATAGACTTATTGAAAAATGATAAAAGAACGTGAGGTACTAAATTTAATAGCCCTTAATTTGATATATCGCCCTGTTTATAACAATAACGCATTCCATAGATATTACAAGCCAAACTTTCATTTTTAAAATTCATACACATTGATTCAATTGCGCGGCCTAAAGATAAGTTTTAAATTAATCTTTCTTGGCCAATAACAATTGGCTTAGACCTAAGACATCATAATATTACTATTACAATGCGGTCAAATAACTTTTATTTTCCCCCATACAAAATCGACCCAGCCTAATGTACATGTATACATGTATATGGGCAAATCTAAAAAATTGGTACACTCTCCAAAATAAAAAAAAATTAATGTTTACATTTGTGAGCACACGTATATATATTATATATCATTTTATTCGTATTCTCTTAATAAATCGATTAATATAAGTGTAATTCATTTTCATCAAGTGCTTCAAAAGTTAGGCGAGGAATAAACATGAAATTG